CCAACCAGTAGAAGAATCATTAAACATAAATGGGCAAAGCTCCAATTAATACCCACAAGGAATTCATACAAGTCATACCAGACTGTGCAGTTCAGACCATCTCAATGAGCCTCTTCACTTCCAGTATGTTTGTAGTAAAAAAATGAGCAACTTGTGAGGATGATCCAACTGTTTAAAGCCTTGAATCTCTATCCATTCATAGCCACTTTATACACAGACTTTATACTATTACACTCATGATCCTAAAATGACTACAATTGCTACTGATGTCTCTTAACAGATTCGGCAACACATCACAAACTCAAATCTATCAGTAGTGAAGAATATCTTAATTGATCAGCAGTTTCTGGGAGGGGGAACCACTCACAAGCCATATAAATCCCCACTTAACTTGCAAACCTTTAAAAATGCACACCCCTTTACTATCCTTCAGGTATTTACCCTTCCCCAGCTCAAAGGGGGTTTTATTTATTTCATTATTAATATCACTGCTATTGGAGTGACAGCCTTTGTCACCAGTGCTTCTGTCATAACAGACTAACTGCCATAAACCAAAGTCAGCTGGAGAATTTCAACATTAAGAAAGCTGTTGTCCTGATTTGCTTCTCAGCACTGTGCCTCAGCAGCAGCAAGGCAGCTTTACAGACCAGGGAAGTGAAGTCTCAGACCCAGTCACTGCACTGCCACTACTGGGAGGCCACTTGGAGAAAAGCTTCTGGAACAGTGCAAGAGTAAGGGCAGGAACTCTATCTCCTCACCCAAAAAAACCCCATCAAACATTCCTCCAACACAGCAGCATTAGCAAATGGACACATCCCACACAGCCCCTTCCCAACTGACCTGACCAAAGCCCAGACAGAGCAGTGCAGCAGTCACACCCACCCAGCCCCACCTGCACAGGAGTGCTCCTGTGTGCTGCCTGTCCTGCTCAGACAGCAGGGGAACTCCCCAGCTGCTCCCCTGGTCAAACACCCACTGATTTCAGCAGGTTTTCCAAGAACCACTTTGTCTGCCCTGGCTGATCCAAAGCTCCAGCACACACACACACTATCTGCTCAGCCACACAGGCTTTTACAAATCAAAGCTCCCACAAACCCCAGGTGACGGCGACTATCTACAAAAATCAAGTGAAAAAACATCACACATTTCATCTCCAAGAATTACCTACATCAAAGTATGCAGCAAACATGTCATCTGACTCTGTGAACATGTCAGGAGCCAGCAGCTTCTTCTGAGCTGAACCTTAAAGTGAAACACAGATTACTCAACGTGAAAAAAATGACAACCTAATAACCAGCTAACCTGTGACTCGGTATCTCTACAGTCTAATCCAAGGTCTTTCTACTGATCTTCCTAGCAAATACCATTTTACATTCTAGAAATGCAAAACTTGGACTGGGTAAGCTCTTCAAAGCCCTCAGAAATTTCTAACTCCTTCAATAATTAAATATAATCACTTCCAAATAATTCACAGTGGAAAGAAAAACGTACATGATCCTACAGATATTGACTATATATATAAATGTATAAAAGAGAAATATAAACCAACCCCTTCTATGTATAAAAAACCCAAACCAGACATGCTTTCAATATACACTAGCAGAAAAGCCATGAACATTACAAAGTATTTTACTAGAAATCAAAGCTGTAGAGGCCAGAAGTTGCTTCTTTGGAAAATGTTTTCTTTAGCCCTGTCAAAAAGGACCTCGTGTAGCTTTTAGGCAATGTCAACTGTTATGTTAAAGATAAATACTTTTAATGTGGGCAAGATTATCCCCTTCTCACCTTTTAATCATCTTTAAAGTCCCACAGACATTTTACTTGGTTGATAAGATAAAAGCAAAGAAACAAAAATGAAGTACAGGTTAGTGAAAGTGAGCAAACTTCTGAGTATTTTGTAACACAGGTTACAGCAGTGTCCTCATGACCTCAGCAACTCACAGCCACGGCCTTTAGGGGACTAAGCAATGGAGAAAAAGAAGCACCTGTGCAGCAGGCACAGCTCTCTCATTCCAGTACCACTGAACCATAGATGAGGTGTGGGGAGGAAGAGGAGGGAGCTGCCATTTCTTCAGCAAGAAGCTGCGCTGCCCCAGCGGGCTTGCCAGCAATGACTTTCAAAAGCCTTCATCATTCTGAACAGCTACAGACCCACCTGTGTTCTGAGACAGCAGCTTTGCCCAAAAAAAGGGACAAAAGGGGCATGGTTTCCAATCCACCCCAAAATAAAAGACTAGCACTACATTCAGCTTCTAAGAAAACAATGTTTGTAAGTTAAAAATGTGAAACTTGAGAAGAGTGATTCTGAACTGTAAAGACAAAATTATTTGCTCTTCCAAGTGTACTGCAGGAACTGTGTTATCAGAAACAGAGAGAACACGTCCCACTCACAGCACCCTCCTTAACGAGCAGGCTTCATTTTAATGTTACTGTGAAATCTGTGGCAACAGGCTCAAATTCTGTCCAACCAATCGACCTCAAGCCTGGAGGCAGACACTAAAACCAAGCAAAGCCCCCGAGCTGGCACTGCTGTAGCTGTGTGTGCCACTCACCGTTGTTCTGCTCCACAGTCATGAGGTTGTGCTTGGCCTTCACCGAGGCCTCGAAGGTGTCCACGTTCTCCCGCTCGTACTCCTTCACGTCGGCAGCCACCCTCTCCAGGATGCCCTCGGGGGAGTGGGAGCGGCTGCGCGGGCTGCTCTGGGGGCTGGAGGGCTCCGAGGGCACCGACAGGTTGCTGTCCTCTGCCTGCCCTTTGTACTTCTGCAAGGGGAGCTCCGTGTTAGCCTCGCCCTCCCAGCCTCCTGCTCGCCCTTCCCCTGGTTTGGGCTAAGCCTTGATCTCTGTTGTCGCCTCTGAAGGCAACAGATCACTTGCAGAAGGGAATGTGGCTTTTGAAAACCTTTTGCCACGAGGCACCACAGCCCTGACCATGAAATAAGACTCCAAAATTCACCCTCATCCTTCAGGCTCTTCAATAAAAACAGCTTTTTACAGAAATGTAACTATTTTGGTTTGCTGTGTAAAAAAATGTAACTATTTTGATGAAATACACAGCATACCACAGCCCTGACCACGAAACAAGACTCAAAAATTCACCCACACCCTTCAGGCTCTTCAATAAAACCAGCTTTTTACAGAAATGTAACTATTTCATTTTGCTGTGTAAAAAAGTGTAACTATTTTGATGAAATACACAGCAATAGATTGGTAACTAATCATTCTGGCACACAAGTACTGAAGTAGAGTCTTTAAAGAAAAATTACTGATATTTATATCTTGCATCCTACAATCTTCCTCATTTTTATTCACATTACAGTGCAGAAAAGTGACTTTTAGATTAAGCTTTTTTTATTTGCAATGCAATACTGTTTATTTGTTCATTTTTTCTTTTTGAAAACGTTCAGATGCATTAAAAAGGTTCCAGACAAAACCTTTACAAATTATTTTGGACTTAAACAGTATGAAATCATACAAATGTCACTTCTGCTCCCACAAGTTAAAAACTAAAGTGACTAAATGCCAATACCACTCAGTGGTCAAGCCTGAGCTGTTCAGTAATACAAGTGGAGGGTTCCCCTGGAGGGAATGGAGTGCTGGATACAGACCAACACCACGTGTAACCAGCTTAAAACTGTAAAATTCAGTGTCTGTGCCCCACGTGATCACACACCCAGGTACCTGAACTATCGCCTGCCGCTGTAACCTTCTTTGTCTTATCTCTGCTTCCTCATCCTCTTCTTCCAAATCAAAGTCTTCAAGGCTATAAAAAAAATCATTTTTTTATATATCATGAAGATTATCCACTGAATTTTACCAAATGCAGTTCTTTGGTGTAGAAAGCACACAACATACTCAACAGTAGCTGTTCAACTGACTCAGAAAGCAAAAGTGTATAGAAATATTTATATTCCCCTAAGGAGAAAATTTATCTCACTGGGACTTTGTGTATTTCATTTTTAACTGCAAACAATTAACAGCAATTGTTTTTAAAGGGAAAAACAAACAACTTGTTCATTTTCATCCCAATAGTTTAGGAATGCACACTGTTGTGCAACTGCATCAAGTAGATATTTAGCAAATACACAATTTGCAGCTAGCAATTAATCCTTGCAGCTATTACAGTTTTTCCCCCAGCAATACACTTGAGAAAACAGATCAGATGTTTTCAGAAGACATTGATAAATCTGCATCTAGAGACTCAAAACCACATCATCCCCTCAGGTCTGCCTGCTAGCCAAGAGCTCTTGGATGTTCCTTGCATACTCCAAAGTTTTCCAGATCACCCCAACAGTAACTGGACAAGATCTCAAGTACTCAAACACCATTAAGTTTTTGGAGACAACTCAAAAGCTACACCAGGAAGGTGAATGTCAGTTCATCCTCAGTACCAGCCCATCTGTATTTGTAGATAACCAGCAGAAGTTAGAAATGGATTCTTACTTTTCATCTGACGAAGACTCCTGCTCAGCTTTCATCCCCTCAGAAAGACTGCCTTTAAACTTGTCCTCTTTAGCTTTGCTTCTGCTCCTACGCCTGTGGCCACCGCGTGACCTGGACCTCCTTCGGAGGCGAGACCTGCTCCTTCGGCCTCTGTCCCTGGAACAGCAGCAGGGGTTAGCTCTTGCCTTGGGATTTGTGGGGAAAAACCCAAAACAACACACATCAAACCGAGAATCTACTCGTCATACAGCAGGTACATGACTCCCAACTAATAAAACCAATGACTTCAGCTCTGCCAGCATACACAGACGTGGACAAAGAGACGTGCCACCCCTTTCTGTGTGGACAGCAAGCTCTGGTCATGCCCTGCAAAGCACATGGAGAGATGAGATGTCTGTACCTCCTGCGAGGAGAGCGGCTCCTCCTGCGCGGGGAGCGGCTGCGCCGCAGCGGGGAGCGAGACCTCCTCCTGATGGGGCTGCGGGACCTCCTCCTGGAGGGGGACCACCTGCTGGGGGGGCTGATGTCCTTGGACCTCTCACGTCTGGACAGGATGTCATCTCTGGTCCGTGTTCTTAAACGCGGGAGAACAACAGCGGCAAAATCAGGAGCGGGCCAACGACAGAAGTCACAACTCCCTCTAAAAGCTCCCTTGAACCCCTCACTGCAGGTGGGGGACCCCCAGATGGGCTGAGGGGAGAGGAGGGACCAGCCCTGCAGAGCTGCCCCTGCCCAGGCAGGGTGTGCCTCTACACAGGCCCCAGTTCAGGAGCTCTCTGGAAACAGGGCTGGTGAGTTACTACCACAAAGCTCAGAGGGGTTTTACAACAAAGCTTGTGCTTCGGTCTTCAGTAAGTAGTGGCTTGTTTCACAAACAGTATTTAAACAATAAACCCTCAAAACTAATCCTTGAGAATCTTCTCAGCAACTTTACAACACAGTATTAAAATTTTGGACAGGCAATCACTTCAATGCTTGCCTGGGCACTCTGGGCAGCTCCAGCATGCCACACATCCTAATACAGCCCCCGAGAACCTGAATGCCTCATTAACATGTAAATGAACCCTTCCCAGATTAAATAAGCCAAGTTTAACACTATATACTATTTGTAATTCATTCATTCATTCTTGTCTATATAGATTCACAATTGAATATTCAAGAAAACCAAAATGTGACAGGACAACCACATTAAAAAGTTTATGTGCATTCCAGAACAGCAAGACTTCAACCAAAAATTGAAAAGGATAGAAGCTCCAAATACTTAACAACAACTCTAATGAGGATGCAACAGAAGTTCTTGAAAAATATTTCCATGACATTGTTCAAAGAAAATATTGCTACTCTATTTCTTTTCCTCCCCCCTCCTTTTTTATTTTAAAATCAAACTGGGACAAGTTATTTCAGGTGTTTTATCTCATCAATGAGCGAAACCCCTTGGGTCTGAAAGATTAATTCCATTCTGCACTGGTTTTTTGTTTTGAGGCTGCTGTATCAGCTCTGTTACCTTAGCTACCTATAGTGACCAGGCACAGAGAGCCAATGCAAGCTAGTGCACAGCAGGACAGAAGGACTGGTCACAGATGTGCAGAAGCACTGGCAGTTTCCACAAGAAACAACTGCAGACTCCAGTGCTGGAGCAGGCTGACCCCTTTAACCCATTTAATTTATGTTCTTCTGAACAACCTTACACAGTAAGTCACAGGATGAATGGAAATTCCCAGTTTCCTGACTAACAGAGTGCTTGTACTGTCAAACCCAATCAAAGTATCTGTTAAAAACAGTTCAGGGATCACAGGTATGAGATAAAAAGCAGAAGCTGATTAAGAATTCACAGTAACATCATATAGAGAGTAACTTCAGTCAAAAGACCTGAGAAGTATCTTACATGATTAGAACACTGGAAAGAAATATTAAAGAAACAAACAAAAAAAAACTACTGGGAATTTTTGGTTAAAACTGAGGCTCCTGCAATTCTCTGAGAGTTATTACAACTCCAGCACAGATGGAGTTAGTTTAGGATGTCCCACAAAGAACAGTCATTCCCTGCTCATTCTGCCCACACCTCCAGCAGAAACTATTTGTTAGTGTCTCCCCCTCACACGTGTCACCCAGGTATAGATTTGAGAGCAACAGTCTCAAGAAATAGTCTTTAGAGACCCAATGCCTACTGCCTGCAACACAGGGCCTGAGAAATGCTGCAGAAGGGAAGTCAAACCCTATGCCAAGGAAATTATTTGGGGGCTGTGCCGATGTGTTCTCCACTCCCCAGAAAGCAGTCACACCAACCAGCAGCCTCTACAAGGCTTCCTTAATCAGGTTTGAAATTAATTGTTACCCAAAAGTAACACTGAACTCTTCTGCCTGGGGAATCTCACATGTTTAATGACTTTGCTTCCAAACCTGTATACCCTTGTGTCTGCCTGGGACCTCACCGTCCAGGGCCTGTCAGCCTCAGAGGAGACACCAGTGATCAGTCCTATGGTTCCTGTTCAATTCCAAGGTAACTTGCACAGGCTAGGTTGTCTTTTTTTAAAAAAATGCCAAGAAATCCTTTTGAAGATTTCAGTCTTTCTCCTCTAGGTGTATGCAGAACATGGCAACGAATACAACAGATCAATAACAAAGCAGTGCTGCCATACCTCCAGCAAATGAAACCCAAAATATTTTAAGGAACAAAATGACTGTGAGAAGGACATCTTGATATAAAAGGTTCTCTTACATTCATGTGGGCTAGCTATTATTAGGGGTGGTTTTGTGGGGGAAGAGGGGTTCATGACCCACCTTTAGGCAACAGGGGACTCTCACTCCACAGAAATTCCTGAAAGCAACAGAACTATTAACTAAGGAACAGAACAGAAACCCTACCAAGTGGCCAAGAGGGAGAGCTGAGCTATGGGACTTGTTCCCAGTAACGGTGTGAGCAGCAAATAACTCAGCACTTGAACAACCCAAGCTGAATTTAAACAGTTATTTCCAGAATAAAGCAGAGACACCCAACCAGAAGCCAGCTGACCCCGCGCCACGCGTTTCCGCGACGGTCCCCGGCACCTGTGAGTTACCTGGGAGAAGACAGACGCCTCCTCTCCGACTCTCTTCTCTTCCTCTCTGCAGATCTGCTCCTCACCCTCCTGATGGGCGAGCGGGTTCGAGAGGGGGATTTGCTCTGCCTGGACCTGCGCTCGCTGAAGAGGGGGGACCTGCTCCTGCGGGGCCGCTCGCGCG